GAGTGGATGAACTTTATTTTTAATGAAGTTCCAGACCGCATCAGTAAGAACTTGGTCCTTTGTTCACTTCATTTTACCACGGATTCGTTTACAAACAAAGCACAGTTCGAAACAGGATTTTCATAAAGATTGAAATTAAAAGACGATGCTGTGTCGGCTATATCGGATACGATATTAATGTCGCAACCCAAGTGTGAGTAACTGTTTTTATTACATGTTCACTTTATTACATGTGACTTTTTGTTAAACCTATGAATGAATGAATGAATGAATGAGTACCACAGTACTTTTTGAAAGAGGATGTTTAGTTTTGAAATGATTTCCAATATGTATCCAGCAATATATGCTGTTAAAAACACAACTTCAGAAAACACATGAACGATGACACACACTGACATCTGTAAGTCCTGTTCTAAGATGTACTGTATGTCCTTCTGTTTCCTTGATGAATGAGGAGCACATAGTGTAATTGGACTCAGTTATTGTTTTCCTTTCTGTCTTTCTGTTTCTTCTCACACATATACCGTTAGGCTGTTAGACTCACCCACTGTGAACACATCTAGACATGCTACCACAAATACTTATTTGTGGACACACAAATGGGGGAGGAAACTATATCTGACATGACATCAGGCTAAATGAGGATAATTGTTCTCCTATGCACTCTATCACACCTCCCATCGAGTGTCAGCGTATGGTTATGTTTCTAAGGTAACATGATGGAGCTCTAGGAGCAATGTCTCCAAGATGCTTCAAGAGACCTTTCTGCAAAACTACAGTACTGTTAAAAGTTGTAGGCACTTGTGTGAAAATGCTGTAAAATGAGGATGCTGTCAAAAATAATGTCATTAATAGATTTTATTTATCAATTAACTTATATTAACTAAATTAAATCAACATTTGGTGTGACCATCCTTTGCGTAGCAGTTTTCTCCCTAGGTGCACATAGTTTCTTAGGTAACTTTGCAGGTAGGTCTCTTGAAGCATCCTGGAGATGTTGCCACAGTTCTTCTGGATTTAGTCTGTCTCAGTTTGTTCTGTTTCTTCATGTAATCTCAGACAGACTGGATGATGATGAGATCAGATCTCTGTGTGGAGCACTGGCTGTTGTCAGAGATTGTTGCGCAAACAAAAATCTCACTGGATTATCACAATTAATGGCTAAATTGATGTTTGATAATGTAAACTGATATTTCCTACTGACACACTACAGCATAAAATAGAAATAACTGACTTAAAACCATTTTTAGCTGGTGAAAATACTAGTGTTCTAATAATTTTGGCCACCACTGTATATAAAGGTAAAAAAGAACGGCTTTGACATTTTTCTAATTACTCCTTTTGTGTTCCACAGATTTTTATTTTTTTTTTAGTCTAAAGCAAACATTCTGTGGAAGGTGTGACTAGACTTTACTAAATTTAGATGTAAGTGGGTGATTTCTGCAGCGTTTTAGATATTTTTCCCCCAGTTGCCTGCATGACACTTCTTTTCTTATGGTAGTATTGGAAGAAAATATCAGGCTGTGCAGGGGAAGTGGTATGTCAAATAGCTTGTGGCCTTCTGGTTATCATTTTTGTTGCATTCATGCTATGTCGCATCATGCCTGGACTTCAAACACCTGGTGCACAATGAAAAGAAACCCCGTTTAAGAACAGTATAGACTGAATAGCAGCTGTGAGGAAGCACAATAAGCATCAGGTGCACCACATCTCATGGCTGCTCTGTCCCCGGGCTCTTCAGTGGGAGAGAGAGAAAAGTCAATGCTTTGTGATGGACATAACCAACTGTGCTGTCTCTTGCATTATCTGCTATTGTTGCCCAGGGCGACAGGAACCTGCATAGAGGTCTTGCCCTGACACTAATTTAACTTCCTGTAATATTAGCTCTTGCAAGCTCCAGTTACACAGAACATCAGCTTCACCCTGATAGAAAGACATCTGGTCAGTCACCACTATTGTTTAGCTAATTTGTCACAGAGAGACAACCAGTCAACATTCATACACTCCCACGCAGTATGATA